CTGCGGTCAGTGGAAGGGATCCACCCCACTGCACTCCGACGCCACTCGCCACCCATGCGTTGCGCATTCGCCCGTAGCTTTTCCTCATATGTCTCCCGCTTCTTCACCCAACTGACTAGGAATGTTCTGTCCATACAGGTGATCCGAGGGGGTTGGACATCTGTCACCACCAATGAAGGTCCACTGGAGTTGAAATTGGGCCCCCATCCTCCACTGCTTGGCGTCGGTGGTCCATTTGTAAGAGGTCCCCATCCCGCACTACTTGGCAGGGTGGTGTCCAGCATCCGCCGATCATGAGCCGCACGAGCCACTTTAGCATGGTCGATGCGCTTCTTCTTGGGGGGACGATTGGCTTTGTTGATCCGCCGCCGCTCAGCTTGCTTACGCTGTTCTTCTTGGTATTCCTTTTCTTCTTCCTCGCTGTCAGGAGTACTGTCCGGCCGATTTCGTCGCTCCGCACGTGGCTTAGCTCGAGCTTCAGCCTTTTCTTCCACTCGCTTCTCAGCATCGGACTTCTCCGTCGGCAGTTAGTCTTCGTCGACATAGGCACCTTCGATTGGGGGTCGTGGTAGTTGTTCCCAGTTTGGTCCCATGGTTTGTCCACCATATCGCCGCCGCGATTCGTCCCAGGTCATGGACGCCGCTCGCGCGCTACCCGTTGCCTTGTTAGTCGCAGCCAGCTCCTCCATCGTCTTCCGAACTTCCTCGCTCTTGGACTCTTCCACAGCCGGCAGCACATCTGTGGTCCCTCCAACTACCGGGACCAACGGTGGCTCCGTCACTGGTACTTCCTCCTCAGTTTCGCTGCTCACAGCTGCTGGCGCCGTTGCCGCGGCCTTCGGCTTCTGGGTGCAATCTTTCGAGTTTCTCGCCATTGCTCTCAGTTCCGTAGATCACTGGAACTAAAGTATACTTTGTGTTGTTTCCCACGCCAGTGCCAACACAAACAACCAAATGGGGGAGTGCTGACTCCCTGCAAACCACACACTTGATTGACTTGAGTTAGCACGACGTAGCAGAACCAAGAGTGAGATTCTGGCAGTTGGCTGGGACAGGTGTTCTGTTTTCTACGTCCTAGTACTACTAGTAATACTACTAGTAATACTATGCCTTTTCGTGTTGGTTCGCCAGGGGTCGGCACCCGGTGGCCTCGGTTGAGGACCACCTGTGTCATAGCGGGACTTGGGTTAAGTCGCCCACCATAACAATGGCGTAGAAATGCCCGCTTGGATACTCGTTAAACACCTTGGTTTCGATCGTCCCACCGTCAACTCCACGGATCACAAAGACGATAGGGAGCTTCTTGCCACTGTCAACAAGGCTGTCATGTGATAGGAGTGTGTTTCAGCGTTAGCCACGTAGCTTCCTTCACCCTTGATGGCCCATATTGAACTGGGATACATATCGTAGTGTATCCCGGTTTCGTCAACATTGTAGACGCAGTCCATAGCCACGCCGGGGTGGTCGGAATGGAATTTCTTGCCAAAGGCCAGGCACGTTTCCTCGGGGTCAACTTGGGTCTTCTTCTGACGGCAAATGCGTCGCTTTGAGAAGCCATGATGATCCATGAACTTTTGGAGTAGGCGAAGCTAGGAATTGTAGCCGGCCTTTCGTGTCGTTCAAACCATGGCATGACCAGCGCGAAGAAACTTCAACACATGGGATGATGTCATAGGCAGCTCGCTGCGGCGCAGGTCCTTCAGGTACGTTACAAGGTCATGACTGTCGGGAATGATCGATCGTCCGCCGCAGGTGCAGGTGTTCTTCTTGCGGGTTTTAGACCCTTTGAAGCTTGCCAGCTTTCGTTGGATCTGTACCCACAGGCGGACGCTGCGTTCGGCGTACGAGGATAAAATATTGCCACATAAGAATTGGTGAGGACCACATAGAAATTGCTGAGGGCCACATAAGAATTGCTGAATCGCACATAGTTTTTGCTGAAGTACACATGGGATTTGCTGAATTGAATATTGAGTATGTTTCACAGCGAGATCCACTTCAGCAGGCAGTGCGTTATGATAATTTCTGGACAGGTGTGACTATGAGCAATGTGATTGGTTATTAAACTCACATGTGAAGGAAGGGTAGGGAAATCACGAAATACCTTAAACTTATCGATGGCCCTATGACCAACCACCGATTGATAGCATGAAGCGGACGCGAATCAGGATGTAGTGTATATTACTGCGAGTAGCTATACGTATACATGGGACAACCTCGAACTGCCTAGATATAGAAAGAACCTTGCTTGCTTGAGGTACTAACGGATGGCTGAATGCGCAAGGGGATCGATCACTTACATACCCATGGACCCACTGAGCAGTGTATGTGAGGTGGCAAATTGAAGAATGACAACTTTGAAATGTGTGGTTGGCCATAAAATATACTTCAAGTAATATTTGTTAAATCAAAACGCAATATTTCTGGAAGATGATAATGTTGAGCAGGAGCATGTTGCCTCGTATTGCCTGATTAACTAGCCTTGCTTTACAGATACCTTATTCAAAACTAATAGAATGATTACGAGAGGAGCTGATACAGTATAGTAGAGGATTTGCCCGTTTTTGTTGCTCGTATCAACGACAGGCAATTCCATTTGTGCTAGTAAGGCAAGGCTAGCATTCGAGAGTCCTGAATCATGCCAGCAGTTGAGCTAGCACATAACGCATACGAGTACCAAGGAATATCACAGGGCTCCATCAAATTGCGTGCAATATGACTTTGCGTGGAAGCTAAGAATTAAAACGTACAGCTGTATGTGGACCTCAACCACAAGTTATTCGTGTAAATGCTAGCAATTTGGGTAAGAGTCGTGGTGAATCTACACCAGAAAGAAGAGGTTTCAGACTAAAAAGAAAACATTAGGCGCGACTAGCTCATAGTGCATGCAAATCGCTACAGCTGTATAGATTCCACCTTTACATCGTTTATAACCCCCCACGGCCTTATGTCCCCTCCACAACGATTCTGCTTGTGTCTTATCGACATGTGAAAGCACACAAGCACCATTTAAGAGGTTAAAACCACCATTCACGACATCATGCTCATAGTGTATGATAGATCGCCAGAATAGTAAGCCAGAATTGCAACCCCTGCACCTCCTCAGCCCTTATGCATCCCACCTTCTCCTCACAATATTCGACTTGTAGCATCCCCAAGCCAAATTGCCTAGCACATTTTATTGTTCTCAACGCTCACTCGAATATACAATTAGTACTGTCAAGGGTTTTTGGCCAAAATATGCTGTCCTCGTTTCGATAAATTTAGGATAGTTCGATCGTTACATTGGAGATTAGTATACTCTTGGAGTAGCAAATTGTAAAAAACTACCCAACAGTTACTAAATAAGTTACGTTAAGTTTCATGTGTGTGGTACTAAACCGTACTAGTACAACCAATGTTCCCAAATGAACCTCATACTAATGCAATATTGTATACTTTCGCTGTAGTAAATTATAAAATACTACCTGGCTGTTTCACAAACTGCGAGCAACTAAGTACAAAGCAACCAAGAGTAATTGATTCTCCATAATTATTCAGCTACTCGCGGGGTATACATATACTGTAGCTTGCTTACTTCCGGCAGCCACATCCCCGCATACATACTACACTACAGAACTGCCTCTGGTCAGCGCAACGAGTTGAAAGTGCGCCCGCACCATATCTCTGAGCTGACATACAGCCATGCGTCGCCAAGCCATCTCGGAAGCGACGTGCCATCGCCCGATTCTGGTGTATTTACCTATATAAATCGATAATTCATATACTGGTTTATTCGGAAAACTCAAGTTTTAGCATACATAAATCAAGTGAAAATGGAGACGACAACTATTCTGCGCCAGAGTAGAATACCTTATTCAGTACCTCGGTCAGGACCAAGTCGTCGGTAGCTGCTTTGGACTGAAGAATGCACAGGCTGATCCAAATCGGCAGCGGCTGTATGGCGAAAAACAACTTCGCCAGCAAGCGGCCAAGAAAGCGGAACCTGGCGCCTCACATACGAAGGGCTGTTGGAACACATACGAAGGGCTGTTGGAAGTGTGGTAGCGAAGGCCACAAGGTCCTGAAGTGCCCGAAGTGTCCGCCGGGCGAGGCTCAATGCCTCTTGGATCAGCGGTTCAAAGAAGCCGCAAGTCGCTGCTGTGGCAACGCCGGACAGTAGAGGCGAGGTCAAGCCTAAGGTGGTGGGTGCGGCCGCCGATATGGATGAAGCGACGGCGGCGCCGGTACTGCGCACGTTAGAATGCGCTATCAACGGACTCAAGGCGACGACGCTACTAGACATTGGTGCCGACCAATCTGTGCGTCACCGACACTTTTATCACGTCTCGAAACGCCTGGAAATTTTACGTCGGCGGTCCGACAGTTGGACACCGCCATCGAGCTGGGCGGTTTCCTCGAATGCATGAAGCTCCAAGTGGACCGCGACGTCAAGCAATGCCTGACCTTCGAAACGGCCGAAGGTACCCTGGTGTTAGAGAACCTCAAGTGTTGGATGGCCATTACAAGAAGGTCTGGGTGACCTCATTGTCAGCCACGACGTGATGGCGAAGCTCGGATATTGTCCGCGTTCGTTTTTACTGAATGCGCGGCGTGCGCAGAGTGTGTACGACCTGGACCGATTGGGCGACAAAGAAACGGAGGATAAAATATTGCCACATAAGAATTGCTGAGGACCACACAGAAATTGCTGAGAGCCACATAAGAATTGCTGAAGGAGACATGGGATTTGCTGAATTGAATATAGAGTATGTTACACAACGAGATCCACTTCGGCAGGCAGTGCGTTATGAGAATTTCTGGAAGTTTAATTACCAATCACATTGCTCATAATCACATGTGACTATGAGCAATTTGATTGGTTATTAAACTCACAATTTCAATGTGATTGGGTATTGTAAATGAATTCAGATCATGTGATTGGCTATTACTCCTTAAGTTCGTGATTTCAGGAGTGGGAGGACGTAACTGTAGCTGCTAAAATTAGATCTGTTCAGTATTGAGTACTACCTCCAGTCGGAAATAAACCAGCCATTTGGTGAAAATTGGTAAAATTGGTGTTTTGTTTGATGGTGTTATCTGATTTTGCCCTAAGTATGCTTGTTGTATACGTCTTAGTATGGCCAGTATCCCTGTGGAATATAATACCTTAAACATGAATACCCTAATGGATAAGTGGGTTCTACGCTATGAGTGTTGGTGGCTTACATGCATTCTACCTGCATCAACCAATAGTCAGTAACATTTTTAAACTATGTCTTGTACAGAATATAAATTACTGCAGGTGTATAATATAATCAGTATCAAATCGTGACAGATATCCGGATACATGTTTTCGGTCTCTATAACATAATTTATTCCGGTAAATTCTGAAAAAACCTCCAAGAATGAAATGGCTGGTTTATTTCCGGCTGGAGGTAGTACTCATCGAGGTGTTTGTTCGCTGTTACTCCTCCGGGGGATGTGGTCAAATAGTCAAGAATTTGCTAACTTCGTTTATACTTGGCGCGCGTGGAACATCATTATGGGCCACTGCCCTTTATGTATGGACAAGTTCAAAAGAATCTAATCTTGACTAAGGTGGGAATTATCTCACCCGACTACTCCAGGCATTAACATGGTGGCGCTAAGTACCATAATTTATCGGCACTCTATACAAAATTCTACTCTAATTCAGCTTATCTAATATAATATCACACCAATGTTCTCTACACAATGGAGTCCCAAACTATCGTACTTGCAAATAGTATGCTGCATAAATACGAAATATACAAATCGTATTATCGACCAAATTAGCTAACCAGAAAGCATGATACATCAGGCAACGTGCAAACGACGGCGACGGTCGCGAACCTGATAATGGTTCTGGCCTTCAGCATCTGCACGTCTCGTACAGCTTGTCAGTCGCCGTGGCGGTGTACTCATATCTGGAAGTCTGATCCCGACTTCGTTGGATACGGCCAGCACGTGGCTGCAAATGGCGCCACGAATCCAAAGCAGACAATCGCACCGCAAGGCAGTTGGGACTTGTGTTCGAACAACGATCCATCCACTCGCAGGTTGTTCGTGCAATTCAAACAGAGCAAGGTTCCTTGCAAGCGGTGCCCGGGCAGGAGGAATGGGTGCATGCATGCCTATGTCATCATCATCGCCCGGGTCCATCACCTGTGATTCGTGGCGGACATGCCAACGTTCAGGGACTTGACGTGGCACGGCACGAACGGTGATAGCAGTCGGTTGAAGTGGGTCTTCATTCGGATGGATACAGTTGGCTTATTTGCCCATGGTTTTTCGAGTTCGGTTGTACGGCAGCCATTGGCTAAAGAAATAGCGCCGAAACTTCCGGAGGCCCCGGCTCGTCGCCCACTTGTCGTGCACCACCGCCATTAAGTCGCCCAGGTCTACACGACTTGCCGACATATGCAGCAGATAGATGTCGAATGAGACATCTCGCCATTCTTCGTTCGTCAACTCAGTACGCATTTCATAGCACTGTATACAAGGTAAGCCGTATGTAATGATATCATGCATAGGTGAGTCATAAGCAATTTATATCAGACATACCTATTTGATGACGTGGTAAAAGCACAAGAGATATTCTATCTCTGGCAGCTGCTGGTCCATGGCTGTCGTCATTCCGAGGTACTGAGCCTTATCGGCGTCACCCATGAGCAATCGTGGCTCCCACGCAAAGTCGAGTTGGTCTTCAAACTCTTTCTTCAGTGACTTCAACAGCCAGGCCACGTCGTCATGAGTTCTTTGTGATGTGATGCAAATGCAGAGCACATGGAACGAGCCAGCCATATCAGAGTACCCAAATACGAATACTGGGTACCCTGACTTGTTAGTCGAAAATGTCGTGTCAACATGGCACAAGATCTTGCGGTGGGGGTTATCTTCCCAAATCGTTTTGTATCGATTCATGACGTCAAGCATCGTAAACCCTATGTACGAATATGAATGCATAACATTGTTATCGTATACAATATCATTACATGTGTCATTATTTACACCGCATTGAAATATCATACCGACTCGAAACGACTGCAGGCCACCATTACCTATGCGGGGCATGCCATCAACTTTTTCCACGCCGAATACGAATGGGTGATGGATTTCTTGATCTTCTTGTGCGGTTGGCAGAACCCAATGTTGCAACGCATCATCAACAGCCGGCACAGTACTTTTGTTGTGCAACTCCTTGGTTCGCACACGTAGTTGATGGATTGTTGCATTTGCCGGGGAGTTGGACGCGCTGCATCACCATAATTGCCCGACTGATAGAGTACACGCAGCATCTTGAACAGGGTCTTCGGCATACGTTTGGGGTCTTCGCCGATCCATGACCGCAAGTCGTGCAACATATCTTCGGTCACCTATTGACGCCAATATCATAATCATTGTTATGAATTGTTACCACCCAAGTTCGTACATGGGGCTTTACCGGTGATGCTATCCCATCCTCACCCATCATGTGGTATCCACACATACTGACAACAGTAGTATTGGAGACAAGAGAAGTTTGGATCTTGTACGCAGCCTCACACCGCGGTATTCCTTCGACGTTGGTGTGACATCTTTGGCTGGTGCACCTAGTGTACTGTGATTTCATATGATGAGGCTGGGCAAGGCGCGTGTCGTGCTCGTCAACATGAACCAATGTGCATGCTTCGCTGTTAGAATGTGATACACCAAAGCGATGTAGTGTAAGTCGGAACGAGGGAAACTCGGCACTTGTTAGCGTGTGAACGTGGCGAAACGCGGTCATGGGTGTAATGATGATATAGGACATGTAGGGTTTCCTTTGAATAAATTGAGGATACTTCGATCGTTACATTTAAGTTTCGTATACTTGTGGAGTAGCAATTTGTAAATAACTACCCAAGAGTTACGTAAATGAGTTAAATACTGTAAGTTACATGTGTATTTCTGTTGTACGAAACCGTACAATTAACATTTCCAGCTGAACCTTATCTTATTGCAATATTGTATACTTTCGAAGTAGCAAATTATAAAAAACTACCTGGTCGTTTCACGCTTGGCCTTTCTGTCAGCATGGAGGATGATGTCGCTACGCACAACGTTGTGTTTGGTGATGGGCATGAATGTGTCCCGTTCAAGATAGGAGAAGGCTACTCCGGAGCAAAACGGAACGTAAAGAAATGCTTCGTGTGCGTTGGTAACACGAATAGGGGAACTACCAAATACTGTTCTATTTGTCTGGTGCCGGTCTGTGCCACAAACAGGGAACCCACAGCCCTCACGTGCTAGTAGCTGATACACACACCTGAAGTTCAGCAGAGATTGTGGCAGAAAGCCGTAAATTGCAACATCCGGCAGGCAGCGGAGTCACCGTCGATGAAGCGAAAGCGCGTCTCGGCCGTGAAGAAGAAAGTCAAACTGCGAGCCATTAAGTATAAAGAAACCAAAAGTAATTGATTCTCCATAACATATAATGTAGTTTGCTTACTTCCGGCACACATATCCACCGCACACAAACTACACTACAGAACTGCATCTGGCCAGCGCAACGACCCATTGTGCTGCCTCGGATTCACACTACAACATGCGTTTATGGACATGGACGTTGTGGCCCCATTCATTTCGAGTACTTCCAGTGCACACATACACTACATTAAAGAACTACCTCTGGCCACTTGAACGCGCCTTTGTACTGCCACAGATTCACTCTACAGCCTGAGTTATTGACATGGATGTTCTGCCCCTTAGAGCCGTCCATTTCGAGCACTTCCAGGGCACACATACACTTCACGCATATACTACATTAAAGAACTACCTCTGGCCTGTTGAACGAGCCATTGCGGTGCCTCAGTCAGATTCACTCTACAGCCTGAGTTATGGACATGGACGTTCATTCCTATCGTATGCACTTTTATTCTACTGTATTCCTTGCCACCATCCGATTATTTATTACTAGTACCCCGGAATACGTATCAGCTGTAGTGTACGTACCAACAAAAATGCAATTCCCTGTTTAAGTACCTTGATGCGCATCCACCTCACTCGAGACTCTACCTCAACACATGAGTTGACAGGTGGCGACTGTTTTGTGGTTTTCAGCAAAATTTATGTGGCAGGAATGTGAACTCAAAGAAACGCCGCTGACTGCGGCGATGAAGGTGGTCGAGACGAAGGAGAAACCTCCTTCGTCTCCCGAAGAAGTATCGCTCAATCCTGACGAAGAACGGGCATGTTTCCCTGAAGTCGGTGCTGATTGGTCGAAGGATTCTGACCAAGAAGTCGTGCGTTCGAAGCTGAAGGAGAAGGTCAGCGAATGTCCTGCCGCAGGGTGCGGCGAGGAGTTCGCTACAGCGCTGTGGACGCTGCTATTGCGCTATGAAGATGTGTTTCGGCTGTCCCTTGGCCGAGATCAGCCGGTGGACGTGGCACCTCTCAATGTTACGTTGAAGTCTGGCGCGGAACTGGTGCGATGCAAGGCGCGGCGTTACTCGAAAGAGCAGCGCGAGTTTATGGCCAAGCACGTCGAAGAGTTACAAGCGGCGGGTTTAGTTTACCCAAACCCTCGGTCGAAGTGGTGCTCGGCGCCGCTGATCGTCAAGAAGCCCGAAGCGAACGACTTTCGCATGACCGTTGATGTCCGTCCTGTGAATTCCCAGACGGAGCGCATCATATGGTCGATGCCAATGTTGGAGGTTATCCTCGATCCCCTCTCCGAAGCGGTGTTTTTCTTTACCTTGGACTTTTTCAAGGGTTATTGGCAGTTTGCGTTGGATATGGGGTCACAGGAAATGCTCTCTTTCCTTACGGACATGGGTATGTACACGCCGACGGGTGTTCTCATGGGCGGTATCGACAGCGTGACCTTCTGTCAGGCTGCAGTACAAGAGATGTTCGAGAGCGAGCTGTATCGATCGCTTTTGATCTGGTTGGATGACCTGCTTGGATACGAGAAGTCCAAGCAAGGCCTCTTAACGGCGCTCGAACACGTGTTGGTGATCTTTGAGTCGCGCGGACTCAAGCTCAATCCCAAGAAGTGTCGGTTATTTCAGACCGAAGCGCGTTGGTCCGGTGACTGACCAGGACCTGCAACAATTCGTGTGCGCCATGAATTGGATGCGCATGTCTATACCACGCTACAGCGTGGTAGTACAGCCAATTACCGATTTATTTGAGGCGGTGTACAAGTCGGCCGGTGGCCTAACTCGCCAGAAGGTGGCCAAAGTTGTATTGGCTGATGTGGACTGGAACACTTGCCATGAAGTGTGCCTTCAAGCTGCAAGGAAGCCCTTGGCCGCGTGATGACGTTGGCATACCCGAAGGCCGACCGCCTTATTTGTGTGTTGCGGACACCAGCGATTTTCACTGGGGCGGCGTGGTTACACAAATTCCGTACGATCAAGTGGATCGTGAATTGGACGTTCATGAGCCCCTTATGTTTCTGAGCGGCACATTTTCTGGAGCCGCGCAAGGATGGACAATCGTCGAGAAAGGGGCGTTCTCGATTGTGGAGTGCTTAAAGCGGACCGATTACCTGCTTCACAAGCCTGGCGGGTTTGCGTTGTTCACCGACCACGCAAACCTTAAGTTTATTTTCAACCCAGCCAGCGTGAACTCCGCGATCCCATGGTACACGGCAGCAAAACGGGACCGCTGGGCGTTAATGGTGATGGGGTACGATTACACCATTTACGACATCGCTGAGGATGGCAATGTGTGGGCCGATTTGTTCTCGGGATGGGGTGCGACATCCCATCTTATTTGCCCGATCGTGCACGTGCCGATGAAGATTTCGCCGTTGCAAAATGGCGACTTTATTTGGCCAACCATGGCCGAGATTGGCGACGCACAATTCTCTGCGGTGGAACTCGAGGAGCACCGGGTTGACGTGGCAACCTTGTGCTGTTGTTGAAGACCGCGGCGGGCGCGGTGTGGATTCCGGCGGCTGTGAACGAGCTCCAGATGCGTTTGTGTGGTGGCTCATTTTGTTGTGGGTGGACACCGTGGTATCAACGCGACGAAGCAGATCTTGTTAGATCGTTTCTGGTGGTCCGATTTGGCTTTGGACGTGGCCTATTTTGGTCCAAGTGCTTGCATTGTGCTAGCACCGGTGGCCACGTGTTGCGTCCTTTTGGTGCTACTCCACACGCAACATTGCCCAATGTGATCCTTCATTGGGATTTTCTTTACATGGAGAGTTATCTCCTTGTGCCAAGGACGACTTCAGTCAGTTCAAGTGGTTGTGGGAAACTGACGTGGCCAACGCTCAAGAACTTGCGCGCTGTTTGCTAGAGTGGTTCAGTGTGTTTGGTGTGTGCTATTATTGGGTCAGCGATCAGGGATAGCATTTCAAGAACCAAGTGATCGCCGAGCTCCAGCATGTCCTGGGAGCTCATCACCAGTTTACCAACGCGAGATGTCCGTGGGCGAACGGTGGAAAGTGAAATGAAAACAACCCTCAAGACGTTCCGAGCTATAAATGGTTGATGCAACCCGACCAGTGGAGTTTGTGCCAGTGGTGATGCTTGTTTTGAACCAAAGTCCCTCCGATACCCTTAGACGGGACGCCCGTCGATGTCGCCGCTGGATTTGATTCCAATCGCTTCGACGGGTAGGGTCGCGACCTTGGACAATCTGTGGTCGTTGAAGCGTGCAGCGTAGAAGTCGTTGGTACTATCTCTTGATAGTATTCACCATTTTGTTGTAGACGCTGCTTAAAAAAAGCGTCAGAAGAATCGTGCAAGAAAAGCGAAGAAAAATGCGTGGAAATGGCCCAACTCGATGTGGGCGATTTTGTCCTTTACAAGGACGTGTGGTCGATTTCACACTCGAAATTGTGTGCAACTTGGCATGGACCAGCTCAAGTGGTCAAGGCAACGTCTGCCTGGATTTTTGAAATCAAAAATTTGGTCACGGGAATTGTCTGTGAGCCCTATAGCAGTCAGCTCAAGTTCAAGGCCGAAAACTGCCTCGAAGTGACTGAAGAACTTTTGCGCCACGTGACGCACAACGCGGACGGACATGTGGTCGATGATTTCATCGACTGTCGCTAGAACGATCGTTCGCCCTCGTTTAAGGTCCTGGTAAAGTGGCGCGGTCTTCAAGAAATTGAGAACTCGTAGGAGCCGGTGGCCAATTTGCTTAAAGACATCCCGGCCACCTTCAAGCGTTACGTGCGATCCAAGATCGCGAATCCTCAATTCAAGGCGATGGCTGATGCCTTGGGTGTGAAGAACTCTTTGGGGGGGATTGTTGCGAATTTGCCATTCGCAGAACCCCAGACACCTTCCAAGAAGAAGATGTCCAAGGTTTCAATTCTCTTGGGTAGTGTGTGCACTTCGATTGGTTAGTTAGATGATTGGCTGTGTGTAGCGATAGCCTGATTAGGCTTAGGTTAAGCCCCAGTGGCTGGGGGCCACACTGGGGGGATTACTTTGTGATTTGCCTTTGGATTCGAACTTCACAAGGTCCGTCAAGTCGAGACGCAACAATACTACATCATTTCAAATCATTCTTCCATTAGTACCTTCATTTATGCCAGTACTATGCGAATATACTTATCTTTAAGGCAGAGATACCTTGGGATCTTCCCAAACTATCAAACTGACTACAGCAACCAAATAACAAACCACTCAGTGAGTACTCAACATGCAATACTACTTCAATTCCTTTGATTCTTCAACCAGTACTCTCATCTAACCTTGGGCTATACGCATATACTGACGGATTCAGCGGTGGTGATTGGTATCTCCACCGAGCCGACTACTGTAGCCTTTCGAAGACACAAAATCAAGCACTGCATACCCAATACTACTTCAATTCCTACAAAAACGGCCTAGACTCTCGTCTATCCTGACGCTACACACGTCTACTTATTGATTAAGGCGTGGATTCGCATCAGCACCCCGAACGACCATGTCAACACGACAATACAGTTATTCAGGGGTAGAATGGAGTACTACTTCGGTTCCTATGATTCAACTGATAGAACCCTCGTTTACTGACGTTAGGTGGGAATTCATGTATGCTGATCTATAAAGCGAATCGACTTACTGTTAGCTTTGACACAACTATCCAACTCGACAACTGTTGCTATGGAGCGCACAGTAAACAACACTTAGCTAGTTCAACGCATGCACTGCTAAAATGCTTACCCAGGAATTTAACTGGCATTACTGTACACGAGTCATTTGACATATAGGGTGAGTTGACGTGGGCTCTACACAAGTATGCGAGAGTGGCTGTGTTATGTAGCAATCAATGTACTCTACAGTACGGTAGTTCTACTCATGCAATACGATTTATATTCCATGGATTATTCGACTAGTTAGTACTTGTAGTCTGACATTACACGAGTGTTTTATCCTTTAGCTCTAATAACGTGGCATCATGGCATACGATAAGATCCATAACCCCTGTCACTTGTCATTAAAGTGGCAACATGCCATCAAATTGAATTACATTGTTTTCAGCTACCAGAATACCCTCATGCACGTGATTCTGATTTAGCATCTATGATGGATATGGTGCTGTATCTGGTGCACTTGCAATCTCTCACGACCATTGAGTTTCAAACGATATTACTCGGCACAACAAAAATGCAAAATGTGTATTGTGTGTGCTGGATTTGAACCCACGCGTTTCTACCTACAATGTACATTCACATCCCTAGACCGCTTGATCAATTGTGATGGTTACAATCCATTGCTTTTGCCTGGATTTGATTTAATGAGCATGCTCTGCTAACGCACCGCCTCATTTTCTATAACGGAACTATTACAAGCAGCTATCATGCTATGTTCACAGGTTCTTCCTCATTAGTAGTGTCTGCCATTCAGCGAATCTTGTTTGAACAACCAATGCCATCGGAAATACATTTAACTTACTTATATTGTAAATAACTCTATACCATACAAGCACCGCACCAGTACCTTAGTCGTTAGGATGTCAGAACAGTAACACAAAGGTACATGGGTCAATGCCAGTGGTGATACAAACTTTTTTCTGTTACCAAGAGATTGAGTAACATTCCAATTATAGTACATCCCAAGTAAGTTCGTCCTGGTCTTTTTGATTCCGATAGCAGTGCCAGTGAAAAAATACTAGAAAATTATAGGGCTTCAAGTGGGAGAAATGGGCAAATCAGGACGCCTTAAAGTGGGGAGCAAGCGTAACACTTGGTGTCTAATTCTCTAAAATTGTTCATTCAACCTAACCTTTGTACATAACAGTAATACAATAGTTGGGGATTACGAAACTAATAGCCGGATAATCTATAGGACGCGAAACAAATAGTTTCGTTTGAGTTTCGTAACCCCAACCAATCTAATTCGAAGTATCTTACTCATTGTATGTGACCAAACAATCGATTGAATTGGTTGGGGTTACGAAAATTCTACGAAACCCATTATCCGGAGGCGACTCCAGGGATGTCCGACACTTTTGGGCTTATCACATGGTTCACGACATGCAGCGCATCGCCGCTTCATGATTGATTCTCGTTCTGTTGAGTAGCAGCGAAGGGCTCAGTTTAGAGAAGAAACTTAAATGACCACAAGGCCAGCAGAACCAACTCGGCACATCCTAACCAACAGATAGATATACATTCAAGCCACTCATGCATCTACGGTCTCAATCAGTGGCGGGTAGCCACTGGGGCCTAGGGTTGCAGGTTGATCCAAAGTCACTGTCCAATCACTGATCACCACATCAAGAGATATACTCATTTCCATACAAACTCTCATATACGATCATGTATACTTTAGCACTATACAAAGTGAGCATAATAAGTATACTACGCATATCTGGGTTAACCGGATATTCTCCCGTCTAACACTCCCACTCAGTGACTTGGAGCAACTTGTGCTAAGGCCCCCCCCCTTTCGGAGTAAGCTAAATAATAAAACGAAAAGGAGTTCGGAGTAGCAATTCACAACTTTTTCCTCTCCTTTTCATCAAACAGAAAATGCTCAAGAGCTCCCTCATTGGTCAAGATTTTGGTCCATCACCAGACGAGTGAATAACAAATAAAGGTATTTGATTGGTTAAATCAAGCATAGGACAGAAAAAAGAGCAAATCGGTGGTCTTTTGGTGACCAAAAAAGTGACATTGACATGGCCAAGCTCAAGACCCCTTCGAAAAAGGAACTCATCGAAGAGAATCGGGTACTGCGAGCTGAAATGCAAGCAGCCACGTTCATGATCCCCCTCGTCGGGCAGCCTGAAACTCCATCTGAACCTCGGGCCGCTGTCGAACCCAAATTCTCAGCAAACTATACGGACCAGATGATCGTCGCGTTGCTCGAAGTGCGGTTTGGCTGGTTTCGTGACGACTTCGCCGGTAGTAAGTCGAACAAGCAGCTGGCTTGCCTGTGGGAAAAGGTCGCCCTGCAATTCAACATACTCACGTCGGCATCAGTTCGTATACCAAGTACCTCCCTCAAGAACAATGTATATGCTATCAAATTACAGTACAACAACATCAAGAAGTGTGAACGAAAGAGAAAACGCATTGTTGCTGGTGAAGTCGACAGGCAGCGTCAACTACGGAAGCACGGCAAGACAGACGTCGGGGCGGGGCTAGTGTCGCTCGGTGCTGCACTCGCACAAGGGATGGTGGATGCCGCTACCATTTCGAAAGAGTCACCGGATAAGTCCAACGGGTTTAGCGCGATACTCGAGAGGACTGAAGCTGCACTAGCCAAATCTGCTGCCGTCCAAGAAGAAACTAAGATCGCACTGCAACGGGGTAATGAGCTTCAAGAGCAACTTTTAGCGTTTCTCATGAATAAATTTACGGAATAATTGTTTGAACATACATGCTATACATTGTTTTGCACCGCACTTCATCTACACATCGCGGCATTGCGACGTTGCTGTGCTTCATAGAACAATTCCAACGCAAATATTATTGATGGAAATCCATTATCGGTGTCGCGCTACATCATTAAACAATCCCAACGAAAATACTCGTGATGAAAACACCTATTACGTGTAATTGGTAATGTGCGCTTTAATGTGATCACGTGTGATTACTGCTTCTACGCCATCTATTTGATTTTTTTCACTATCGTATATCACATCACCCCCAATGTGCATCCAGTCCTCGTATTCACTAGGAGAAGTAATTGTAATGGCCTCCAAAAGGCAGCTTCTTTTTCATCAATCATCCAATTGTGTAGCACGAGGGTTGCTTCGATGAGGAGGGTCATTTCTTCCGGAGTTCCATGCAAAAGAGTCACCTAAAACAAATAATTTGAGTTAAGTGGGCTAGTTATTGCTGTGTTCCAAGCGGACGACTTGACAGTGAATTTGTCCATCTTTGGAGCAGGGGTGAGGCGGCCGTTCAAAGAAGCAACGACAGCTTGTGCAGCAGCACCGACAGCTGCAGTGACTACTGTGTTGATGTCCATCGAGAGAAATGTATGGCTGGTGATACTTTTTACACTAATTTGTGATATTTTACTCCGAAACGCTTCGTCGACTTATTTGCACAAACGGAGATAGAAGTAGCTCTCGGAGCTACTGCGGAAAACACTTTTTCATCCGTAGAGGAAACCAATCTGATTGGTTCTTGCTCCGGAAATAGTTACTCCGAAAGGGGCCTAAATTGCGGACACCCATCTTAGCTCTATGGAATTCAAACTGACCTACTGGAAGTGCCTTGGTTAGAAGGTCTGCAATCATCTCATATGTCCTGCAAAAACTCAACTTAGCTCTTTCCTGTTCAACCAGATCTCGAGTGAAAAGATACCTGGTCTCAATATGTTTTATGCCTTTGTGATTTCCAGGATTGTGGACACAACTTATACCAGCCGTACTGTCAGACCAAATTTGAATGGGATGCTTAGGCACAAATCCTAATTCCGTCAACAAGTGCTCCAACCACTCGCTTTCCTTTGCTCCCTCACTCAATGCTACAAGCTCAGACTCTAAGGTTGATAGAGCAACACAATATTGTCTAGAGCTAGACTAAGAGACAAATGCTCCTGCTAATAGAACCAAGTAGCTCGAGACTGACTTACGTTCTTTTTGTTGACACGCGAAAGGTGCGTCCGTGTAGACCTCGTACTGCACATCTCTTAACGTCCCATCTAAATAAAGGCCGTATTCGGACGTCCCTTTTAAGTATCTCAGTACTCGAAGGGCTGCCTCCCAATGCGTCTTATCGTAGCAAGATAAAACCTTGCTAAGCTCTCTAACTGCATTAGCTATCTCAGGCCTCATACCCCGGACAAAGTACTGCAGCGGCCCAACAATACCACGATATTCGTAGGGTTGTTTAGAAATTTCATCTGGTTTCATATCACTTTCTGGAACCAGATTCAATCCAGTGACTTGTGGTGTTGACGCAACTTGGCAATCAATCATATTACACTTTTCTAAAAGATCACCAATATGTTTCTTCTGTGATATTCCCATAGCTTTCTTTGATCTGTCTCGAGTTACCTCCATTTTGAGAATGTAGCTTATTTCATCAAGGTTTTTCATCTTGAAGCGTTGGCTTAGCTCCGCTTTGACCTCGATTATAAACTTAGCTGACTTTGACAAAATGGTACACAACTATTATGACCACTTCGTCTCCCACTCTTTTGACGTAGAGACAATATTCTTTGGAACAACGGCGAAAGCCCATGCTCGTAGCTCAGGTGGTAGAGCATCGGTTTCTTAACTCAAAGGTCGTGGGTTCGATCCCCGGATTCCCCGGATTATTTCCGCAAGGATTTAACCGTCCCTCCCCTGGGGAATCCGGATAACGAGGGCCGCGTACGAAGACGAGGACCGAACTTCGAAGAAGATCGGTCGAAGCACGAGGTATGAAGCGTTGAGCGAAGTAAAAACCGAAGATTACACACCGCCCCTGGTCGAGCAGGCGCGTTACAATTGGCGAAGCGGTTCCATAACATGTGGTTCTAGTGTCGGCCCTCGCGGAGAAATGTCTTAAAAATGATAATCCAAAACTCAATTAACCCATGCTCGTAAGAAACTCATGAAGCATTAAGTACCAAATACGTGGTGCTTGCTTTAACCCATCGATGCTTTTCACCAGTTCGCATACTAAGTTATCCTGTCCTTTCCGAATGAAACCTGGTGCTTGACGCATGTAAAGCTTGTTTCCGCAGGCATATGTCCATTAAGGAACGCCGTATGTACAGTACATGCATCTGATGTATTTCATAATCGAGCGTGACACCAATCGCAAGGACTAATCGAAGAGATTCGAAACGGGCGACAGACGCATACACGTCGTCACAATCTACTCCAAACTCCTGGTGACAGCCTTGAGCTACCAGCCGGGCCTTATAGCTTTCAATAGAGTCATTCGAGTGGTACTTAACATTAAATACCCAAGGGCATGGTAGTGAGTGCCTTATGTCCTAGAGGCAAACCAACTAGTTTCCATGTACCATTATCCATCAGAGACGAATATTCAGTGTTCATTGCTTCAGCCCATTTAACCATATCAGGTGATAGGTATATATCAGGCAGACACCGTAGTATCCGGACACCGGTATTACCACGAGTGCTCGTACATGCTGATGGCCGATGAAGTTCGGATTCGACTTGACCACATACATAATCGTCTAAATGACGAGGCCGCTTGGTTGAATGGCTAGGACGCTCTATGTCCACTTGTATATAAGTTTCATCGATGTTAGTAGATGAACTGTCACAGTTATCGTCGTGCACCAGTTTGTTTTGGACTCCCACTTCCGACGTGGATCTACCGCTCAAGTAGTACCCTCATTTTGTATAACCTTTCTCCTTTTATTTGCTCCCACTGTCTCCAGCACCTCAGAGCTATAGTCACCTTCATCGACTTCAGCTATCTCCCCTACATCCTCGATGGCAACAATTGCATCCTCGGGGAGCGAGGGTGGTAGTTGCTGAAACGCCCTTTTCACTATACTGGAGACATATTCAGAATCAAATTGAACATCTCGTGCAATGAGAAATCGATTTGCATATATATCTAACAGGCGATATCCCTTGCATTCCTCTGAAATGCCAAGGAATCGGCATTTGACTGCCCGAGCAGCCAATTTCTTATGTTTCCTAACCTCGACCGGTATATGTGCGTAGCACACACTCCCCCAAATTCGAATGTTGTCCAAATTAGTTCACCATACGCAACCTTTTAGGTGTCCTATTGTTCAATTTAGCCACAGGAGTACAGTTTTGAACATAGTTAAAGTACATCAATGCCTCTGGCCTCCATTTTGCCGGTAGTTGGGCACCGAGTAAAGCACACCGGACCTTTGCCCACTTGGTTTGTAAGTCTTTTTCGGAACTTCCATTCACTTCCTTATAATATGGGTTTGACCTTTGGTACTTAGTACCCTTCGACTTATAGAATTCGATTAGACTTTTGTTGTAGAATTCAGTACCACCGTCCGATCTGATGCGTCGTACATTGCGGTCAAATTCGTTCTCAATTCCCAAAATGTGATTTTTCACATTCCGTGGAAATTCGTGTTTTCTCTGAAAAACAAAGGCCCACCGATATGATGAATTGTCATCAATGATGGTGCATGAGTACCGTATATCACTTGTTGTTCCGTATTGGCCCCATTGACGCACAGGACCACTAAGGTCCATATGTAATGTACCTAATGTCTCATGGGTTCTCGACCCTTGAACATTCCTAAAGGACATCCTTTGTGTTTCATTGCCACACAAGTATGGCAGAAGAATGGTACTGGGACGGACGTAATGTAACCTTGTCTTCGAGTTAGACGGTGAATTCTTACAAATTGATTGGTCATGGTACTTTGATGTTGGAAAATTAATGCAGCCTATCACAGACGCTTTCGAAAATTTAATCATTTCAAGAGGTAATAATATTCTACTTCAAAAGGACGTGTATGAAAATAAAATGTATTTAAATAGCAAAAACTTATTTTTGTTCAATTTACACGTAGTACCTTGGCAAATGCCTGTCGAATGACGTCAGCAGTGACCATATCCCATGCAGCAATGGCACGCAAAGCCATGGCCATTCGCTTTTGATGAGCAGTTGGTGAGTACGGATCATCATCGTCGTCCCCTTCAAGCTGCTCTTCGTACAACCACAAGCTACGTAGGTTGCGCTTGAACGGCGCCATTACCCCGACGTCAAGTGGTTGACATACCGAGGTTGTGTTCGGCGGCAGCGCACAAAGGTGGGAGCCAAGTTCTTCATGCATGGTCTTGTACGACTCATCCGAAACGCGGCACTCAAAGTTGTCCATTAGAACCACCGACGGCTCTTCGATGAACTCGCCAAGGACATCGCCCAGGTACTGTCTCCACACTACCGCATCCACCCACGCATTCTCCTGCATCGCGTAGTGATAACCACGAGGAAACGTAGGGAACTCGTTGGTTTCAATGCACGCCCCGGGTACTCGGGCACTCGGGCACTCCCTTCATGATCAATAGCAGGGGCAGCTTTTGACCGTCCGCTCGCGCCGTTAGGACCGCTGTCATGCGCATCGAATGCTTTTCCCCCGTTGAGATCTTGGCGCTGCCGCCCCGAACAGCCCAAATGTACGTTGGAGGGAGGTTGTAGTACATCCCTGTCTCGTCGACGTTGAATACGCAGTCGCTCTCGTAGGATTGTTATTCCCGATGAAAGTCGCGGGCGAACTCGTCGTGGACTTTAGTCAAGAGCGCCTGCTTAAGCTTGTTCTTTATCTGACGCTGCTGACAGAATACATAGCGCTGGGAGAAGCGACACAGCAGTCGGACGAGGGAGTCGTATGCGACGTCACACTTCTTCGTTGCAAAGTACGACATCAACCACGCCCTTTGGTTGATCTTGATCCAGGTGATCATGTGAGTCGTCGTTAGAGCACGTTCATCATTTCTCATTTTGTTTATAAATCCTACTAAACCTGGTGGGTCTGGGAGCTCTTCGTATCGTCCACCTGATTCGATCTTCTTGCTCTTCTTGTTACCATCGAAGGAAAGGAGCTCAAAGCGCTGAGCGTACCACGATCGTACAGTTCGTCGTGGGACGCCCATTAGCTTCGCCACCTCTCGACCAGATAAGGTCTCAAGTAGGCCGATGGCTTCGAGCATTGTTGAGATCTGGTACGACGCGCGCCTCATATTTCGATGTGCACGTATTGTTTTGAAAGCCTAGTTTTTCCCGCTGGCGCCAAGAATAAAAATTCCGCCAATAAGAGAAGAGTATTGGATGAAATATATTCTGATACTCAAAAATCTTCGGTGGGCGCTGCATTCCGTCCGTCCCAGTAGTGTATTCAGCGTATCCTTAGGCACTTGTGGGATGCCATTGACTTTGCCTTCCGACATCATTGTGACTAGAAGTCATTTGCTGATATGACCGAGTCAAATGTGCCACTCTCTAAAAATGGACACTAACTGGTCGAAGCTGATCCTAATGGGTCGTGAAACTTTGTGCTTCGCTACGCTGCATCTATGCGCTGGCGTTCACTGAGTGCAAAGCTTCTAAGGTAGTAGGCCCCATTGATCGCCACAGCTACAAAGCACAGTGTGCCTTGGTAGAACACATACTTATACCAAAACCCAAAATCATCTCTCACCATTTGATCCAATTGGACGCTGAGTTGCTTCATGGAACTGGACATTCCATCCACAGTGAGGATGTTGTTCACGGCAATGTCGCCAGCAGAGCCAAGATCAAGAAAATCGTTGCGATCTTCAACAACGTAATCTTTCACCCAATGATCCTCATTTGGGCCGTTTAGGGCAGATGTAGGTTGGCCGGTTCCATACTCCACAATACCACAACGGATTTTAGTACCATCCACCTTAGGCCTCTTTGAATTGGGCTTTTGGGTGATGTTAGACCGAAATTCCTTACGCTCAAAATCCTCCATTCGTTTAGGACATTCCGACTTCACGTGAGGCTGGCCACCGACATTGTACTGGCCAAAACAGTAGAATCACTGCCCGCGAACCCAAACGTCGTTTCCCACAATGGGAACATTATCACGCTTGCGTTACTTGTCCCCCGATTGGACAAAATTCACAGCATGGTTACCCTTGGATTGGCCATACCCACGATAGATGCCGTTTGATTGGCTACCCATGCCCATAATGACCTTCTTGGACTTTTCCCCAAAAATCCCAATAAGTTTCGCCTCCACGTTAACGAGGTTAAACCCCTTCTCGTCGAATGAGATTTGAGCACCAAAATACTCCTTGGGCAAAACACCCAAAACCAACGCCACAATCAGATCCTCGCTGATCATATCTCTACCCAAGTACTTCTGAGTGTGGAAGTTGATAGTGTTCCGGGCAGACTTGTTGTCGCAAAATAAGACTTCCGGATTTGGAAAGTCGTTATTCGCGGTCTAGATCAATTGGCCGACCAAGGGCTTAACCGTATTGACGTTAGACTCCTCATAGCACTGCTCGATGGTGGCCCAGAGTAAGTGCACGGGCTGGGCTTCACCAAAGGCGTCCTTGAATTGCTGAGTAAAGGTGTCAGAGAGGACCTTGCTGAGCAGACTTGCTCAAATCGATAGTGGGGGTCGTTGCTCAGATTCACTCGTGCATGTACCACAGGGGAGGCTCGCTAGAAGTCTTCGAACTTGATCTTCGGCACAGGTCGGCTAAACTGATTAGCCAACCATAGGCCGACCTTCACGGTGGTCATTGCCTTGAGGTGCTTTATGAACTTCTGGGTCCACACGCTGAAGCTTTTCTTGTTCCCGTTGAAGGCCAAGAGTTGGACGTTGGGGTCTTTGGAGTTGACAGCCATAGTGTCGTACTTGAAATGTTGCGTCGAGCGGTTGGGCAGCAGTAAGGGCCCAGTTTAGAGAAGAAACTGGAATGACAAAAAGGCCTGCAGAATTAACTCGGCACATCCTAACCAACAGATAGATAGATGTACATTCAAGCCACTCATGTATCTACGGTCTCAATCAGTGGTGGCTAGCCACTGGGGCCTAGGGTTGCAGGTTGTCTCAAAGTCACTGCCCAATCACTGATCACCATTTCTGAGGGAATCAAGTGATACACTTCGAAGTACTCATTTCCATACAAACTCTCATATACGATCATGTGTACTTTAGCACTGTACAAAGTGATCATAATAAGTATAATGCGCATATCTGGATTAACGGGATACTCTCCCGTCTAAAACGTTCGCGCTCCCAGGATCCAAGGCTAAGGTGGCCTCATTCGGCAACTCAACAACGAGGTCTGAATGTCCGACATGAACAATCTTACGTTATAATATGCTGACATGTATGTTTGTAATGGAGCCTAGGCTTCTTGAACTCCCTTGTTAGGAAGTAGACGCCCCAACAAAACGAGTGATGGCAAATATCGGCGGCGGCTATATGTCGTGATGGGCCAGTTCACGTGGGACTCGCGTCCGACAGATCAAGACCTGACCAGCAACTTCCGCCGCGACGTGATTGCCATGCTGGCTGCGGCCAACGACCCGGCCGTGGCGGCGGAAGCCTCGGCGCGCTTCCACGCTGCAGTTTCCGCTCGGTATCGCTCTCGGACGACTT